GCCCTGTTGCTTTGGCCAGATGGTGGCCCAGTACATCACGGCACAAGCATGTGGTGAAGGAGGACTACTCACAGAAAGATAAGAGGCCTGGTGAAATTGGAGTTTGAGATGAAACTAGATTCTCCACTTTATTGGCAGGTGGGGTCTGAGTAAATTACAGGCCTCTGCAGCCAAGAAAGCCTGTTTTAGTGTTATCAACTAATCAAAGCAGGGAATGTCTGTCATTGCCATTTCCAAGGGTCACAGATGGCAAAGCGGAGAGTGGCAGGTTGTAGCTCTTACTGGCAGGCTATGCCCTCCAGTGTCGTCACAGACCCCAACAGCTCACTGCCTATTTCTTTCTGGGATCTTGTCTCACAAATTCAAAGAGGAAATCCGCAGACAAGGATGAGTGAGTGGAAAAGTAGGATTTGTTCAAGTGTGAAGAAGAAAAAAAGGGCTGGGGTTGTGGCCCAGTGGTAGCGTGCTCATCTGGCATGTGTGAGGCACTGGGTTGGATCCTCAGCACCACATAAAAATAAATAAATAAAATAAAGTTATTGTGTCCATCTACAACTAAAAAAAATATGTGAAAAGAAAGAAAGAAAAAGAACTCTAGTGGGCGAGCGGGAAACCAATAGAGGTGGCTGCTTGAATGGGCCAGTTGAGGGGTTTATAAAGCTCTTGGGTCAACACTGTTGGTCCAAATGCACGTTAATCAGGTTTTGAAAAAGTATGAACCCGACTGGTCCAAATTTATGCTAATCAAGCTGGGCACAGTGACACATGCCTATAATCCCAGAGGCTTGGGAGACTGAGGCAGGAGGATCATGAGTTCAAAGCCAGCCTCAGCAATTTAATGAGGCCCTAAGCAACTCAGGGAGACCCTGTCTCTAAATAAAATACAAAATAGGGCTGGGGATGTGGCTCAGTGGTCGAGTGCCCCTGAGTTCAATCCCCAGTGCCACTCCTCAAAAAAAAAAAAAAGAAAGAAAGAAAGAAAGAAAGAAAGAAACAGATTCAAATGTATGCTAATCAGGTCTTGGAAAGTGTCCTTGATAAGTTAGCCCTGTGATCTCCATTCGCATCTGCCCCCACTTCCATTTTCTCACTGCTCAACAGACCAAGCCAGGCCACCACCAGGTAACTGGTGACCGTGCCCTGCTCTCAGCTCCCCAGGCCCTTCCTGGCATGGCTGGCTCTGTATTGCCAAGGCCTGTTCTTGCCAACCATGTTCCAGCTGCTCTACCGTCAGTCTCCACCTCTCGGTGAGGATTAAGGGCTTGGCATCATGGCTGACTATATTCCCTTCAGGGGCATGGCTCCTAGTGAATTAATTTTCTCCCCCCCAGCACCTCCCCTCCTAAATGTCCCACTGCTACTCAATAGTGCCACAGGCTGAGGACCAAGCCTTCAACACGTGGGCCTCTGGCGGCACTCTGGGTCCTCCTTGGACACTGTATTCCTACACTACACATCCTTCGTCCTCTACCCCTCATTAAGGTCGGCCTTCTCGCCCAGACTGACAATCCCATCATCTCTCTTTGTGGGGATTTTGCCAGTGCATCTCTCAGATTTCTCAGTGCGACAACTTCCACTACTGCATTTGTGCCTGGGCCACTTTCCCACAAGACTTGGCACCTCTCTCACGATAATGTTGGACCTGGGTAATGTCACGGGGTGTCTTGAGAACGGCTCCTTGGTGGGGTGCTGCCCACAATCCCCCTCTGTCCTTTCCTTCACAAGGGGACATCCGCAGAGCCAGCAGGCGCAGAGCAGGAGTCTAGGCTTGGAAGTATTTCTGGAACCTGGTTCTCGGCCCACTGTCCTCTCCTGGCCAAGGGCTCCTCAGGTTGCACACACGTAATTACACACACATACAACATGTGTCACTGCCCTCCCTGTGTCCCCAGGCATGGAACCTGAAAACGTAGCATGGGCCCCCAAAAGGACTTATTTATTCCTATTTACATTTTTGTTCATGCCGAGCAGATAATGTACCTCTGTTGTAACAGGGTTTGAGGGAGACACCTCTCACATGATGCAGGAAATAAATTTTACTTATTACTTTGAGCAGGAGGGTGCTGAATTCAAAGCACGCTCTCTGTCGCCACCTCCTGGCATATGGGAAAAGTGCATCCTCCCCTGGATGAGGATGCAGAATCACCACCACCACCCACCCAACTTGCAGGCCCCAGCTTTAGAAATCAGTACATTTTGATAAGCCTCTGTGGGATGCCTGTAATCCCAGCTACTTGGGCGACTGAGACAGGAGGATTGCAGGTGCAGGCCAGCCTGGGCAAATTGCCAAGACCCTGTCCCGAAATAAAATAAAAAACAGGGCTGAGGATGTAGCTCAGAGGTAGAGCACAGCTGGGTTAAATCCCTAGTCCCACAGGGAGGGAGGGAAGAAGGAACCCACTTTGAGGTAGGGTCTTGCTGTGTTGCCCAGGCTGGTCTCCAGCTCCTGGGCTCAAGCAAACCTCTAGCCTTAAACTCCCAAGCAGCTGGGCCTATGGGTGCAACTACCATGCCTGGCTAAGCCCATAATTTTTTGGGGGGATGAGGGGTCCCGGGGATTGAACTCAGGGGCACTCGACCACTGAGTCACATCCCCAGACCTATTTTGTATTTTATTTAGAGACAGGGTCTCACTGAATTGCTTAAAGCCTCACTAAGTTGTTGAGGCTGGCTTTGAACTTGTGATCCTCCTGCCTCAGCCTCCTGAGCCGCTGGAATTACAGGTGTGCACCACCGCATCCAGCTAAACCCACACCTTAACCTCACATTGGGCACTTAGCCAGTGGACACTGACTCCAGGGACTGGCCCAGTTTCTTGCTCAGCTTATTGTCTACAATGGGAGTAAGATCCAGAGACTAGGAAGAAGCCTCTTCCACTGTACCTCAGTTTCCCCCAGCGCACCTGCTGCATTGCCCTCTCTTCTCATCATTTTCTGGTCGTGTGTCAGGTTCTCTGAGAGGCTCTGTCTATGACATGGTAAGGGCCATTGGTGGGCACTTCTCCCCATGTGGATGACCAAGGCCCTTGTTGGGGAAGGGGGATCTCCCAGAACGGTAGGTAGCCCAGGAGGACTGTTGGCACCCATGCAGTGACAAGATGAACTTGGTGACAGGGCTGCTGGGGAACAGGGTGCTGTGTGCTCTGCCAGACCTCTGGAATCCACTGGTCAGTGGAACAGGGACAGTCAGCCCCCCTCTGGGGGTAGGGAGACAGAAGAGACCAGGTGGGAGGCTTTAGGACCTGGATCTGAAGGGGGGACACTACAAGGCCTGAGGCAGCCTCCCACTCTGCATCTGCAAGCCCCTCCACCCAGGCCACACTTCCTGTTGCCCATGGAACTCTCTTCCCTTCACCCCCAACCCCAAGTCCTGGGGCGTCCCTCTCCAAACACACCCAGAGAGTGCAGATGGACACCACCTCCACCTCCTGCCGCTCCTACCCCTGACCTTCCGCACTCATCTTCTCCTGGGTCCCTGGGGGAGAGGGGCTTTCACTCAGTTTGACTATGCCATGTCCCTTCCCTGGAAATGAGTCTCAAAGCCCCTTGATGGGGCAGCAGACAGCTGGGACTGGAATGATCCCACAGGACAAGACCTCGAGGGGGTCTAGCAGGTGGACAGCCCTCTACACACATCCTCTTAACGTACCTGCCCTCACCTCACAGAAAAGGTCTTGCCGGGTTATTTTGCCCTGTTTCCTCACCCCCCAAATGAGCCAGGCTCAAAATCTTGGCTGGGGACCCAAGAAGTCCAGTGCTGACTTCTAGGGCGCTTTGTCTAAGTTTGAGGTCTATTATGCAAATTCTTTCCCTCTATGTCCCCCATGTAGGTCTCTGTGTGCAGGTGGTGGAATCAAGGCCCTGGGATCCACAGGGTGCTGCTGAAAGGGTCAAGCTGTCGGGCTCATCCTGGGTGAGCTGCCTAATCAGCTTTGGATCTTGGCAGAGTGATAGGAAGGGGGCGGATCTTATCAGCAACCAAGCCAACATTGTTTTCCATCTTGCTATCCAAATCTGTGATGGCCACTCCACAATGCTTTTCTCCCTTGGGATGGAAGGCTTCCTGGAGGAGGGGACATGGAACTGGGCCTTAAAGGGTGAGATAACTTGTAATTAGAGTTGGAGTTGGGGTTAGTGAGAGAGAAGAGGTCCAAGAGGAAGGACCAACATGGTCCTCGTGTTGGAACTGAAAGTACCATTTAAAAAGTGTTTTGTTGTTGTTGTTGTTTGTTTGTTTTTGTATGGCAGATTGAACTCAGGGGTGCTTAACCACTGAGCCACATCCCAGCCCTTTTTTGTATTTTATTTAAAGACAGAGCCTCACTGAGTTATTTAGGGCCTTGCTAAATTGCTGAGGCTGGATTTGAACTTGCGATCCTCCTGCTCCAGCTCCCAAGCTGCTGGGATTACAAGCATGTGCCACTGCACTGTCTCATTTAAGTTTAAGGAGGCAGCAGGACACTCTCAGCGCACCAGTAGCCAGATACTCATGATTCTCAATGTCTTCTTGCTGTAGGTTATTGCGACCCTGTCTGGAGCTTCTTTCTGAGCCCATAACCCAACATCCCCAGAAGCAGCCCTTGGCCTATGACTGTGGAGAAGCTGAGGGTAAAGAGCTCAGCCTGGGAATCTGGGCATCTGCTACCCACGGAGTCACCTGATGGTGGGAGCCTGCAGGGCTCCCGTGTGCTCTTGTCCCCAGCTCTCCTCGGGCCCTTGATTCTCCCTCTCTTGCAGGAGACACCCCAACCCACGAGAAGGCAGGAATGGGACCCCTGAGGAGCGGGTAGGAAAGCCCCCGGGCGCTGGGGAGGGGTGGGATTCTGAGTGGAAACAGAACAGTCTCCTCTACGGCCACCACGTGGTTTTATTGGTGGATCACAAACAGGAAGGGGCCAGGAGGAGATCCTCGAGGTGAATCTGAATCCCGGGGTCCCTCTCCACGCCCCCACGACGGAGGCGGCCGGTGATTGCTGGATTTTATCTGCGGAGGCCGGAAGGGAGACTTGGTCTCCACGTGCCCTCGTCCTGCTGGGCGAGGAACTGGGCCAGTGCCACCCTCCGGTCCATCACCGGGGCCAGCTGTCCGCGGAAGACAGCCGTCGCAGGGAAGGCCCGGGCCGCAGGGGCTCTGCCAGGGGCCGAGCGAGGAGCAGAGGGTAGGGGAAGGTCTTGGGGAAGTCGCCCGGGCCCCCGGGGGCCGGCGAGAGGCGCTCGGACTTGATGCTGACTGCGGGGACTGGAGGAGAGGCGCCGCGGGTGGGGGGACCCTCCTCGCCCAGGCTGCGGCCCCCGCTGCAGGAAGGGAGAGAGACAAGGGAAGCCTGAATTCATCGAGGAAGGCAGGGAAGCCGGGGAGGTGGCACGGCGTGGGCCGAGGATGGGCAGGAGGACCCTGGGAAAGAAGGGGGTGGCCGTCCCTCTTGGGACCTCCGAAACAGCCGCCCACCGTGAGCTGGACGCAGTGCAAGGGATAGCCACCAGGGGTCAGCAGTGTCTAGAGGCTGTGGAGGACCTGGAAGGGCCCCCCTACGAAACCCAAATCTGGAGGAGAGATGGGGTACTTACTTGGACTGGGCGGGGGTGGCTGGGGGTCCATCCCCTCTTGAGGACTGCCAAGGAGTCAGGGTGGGGGGCTGCAGCAAGCCAGGGGGCGGCGGGGGGTCTCCCAGGCTATATTCTGGTGGGCAGGAGGGGTAGCCTGAGAGAGGAGACCTCTCTGAGCTGGTGGCCCAAGCCAGGCTGACCCCACAGGCCAGTTTTCTGTTTGGGTGGGTTGCCCCTGGGGGACCCCACAGCCGGTAGGTGTGTGGACATTTCCCAGACAAGGAGTGGGGGGAGGTACCTGGGGGGCCTGCAGGGAGAAAAGGGAAGCTGCTCAGAGGGGGTCCCGGGGCCGAGGTGGTGCTGGGGCTCTGTAGACTACCATAGAGGCTTCTCTGTGGGGAGAGAAGGTGAAGGGGACACTGAGGCCCACACACAGGCCACCCTGCCCGCCCTCATCCACCCCCTGCCTTCCTTCCCTCACTCACCGAGGTGCTAAGACCCCCTCGGGACCCAGCCAGGCCACCGGGCAGGTCTGGCCTCCGCCCGTCTGCTGCCAGGTACAGTGGGGGTGGTGTCTTGCTAGTGAGGTGGCTTGGTGAGAAGAGAGGGTGTGCCAGACCTGGGAAGGAGGACCGCCCCGAGAGAAGGTGGGTGGGCCATGCCATCAGCTAAGTCTGAGGCTTAGAGGTGACACACTCAGCCAGAGCCAAGATCCAGCCCCCCAACCTCCTGGAACTCCTCCCTCCAGGCCTACGTCCCATGCTCACCTGGGGGCCCAGCTTTGGGGGCTGCTGGTCGGAAGGGAGACGGGCGGCTCTGGGCAGGTAGGGCTTCCCCAAACCCCGTGGGATCACAGCCTGGCGGGGGCAGGGCCCCATACACCATGTCCGGGCCGGGCATAGTGGGTGCTGCTGGCTGTGGGCAGAGAGGTGGGATGGGTGGAAGGAGGGCGAGGATGTGGGTGCCAAGGCCACTCCACCTTCAGGAAGCCTCCCCTTCTGGCTCCCTCCTCAGTCCCGCCACCTGCCCTCCCCTGGCCTAAACCCTCAGGGGAGGAGCCTGCATCTGGCTTAGTTTCTCTTCAACCACTAGGTGCAGAGCTGAGGCCCCTCACTCAGCCTTGAGTTGGCACAGAGAGGGTATGCAATGAATCAAAGAAATGAAGCAGGAAGGAACGCTTTGCCTTTTGAACTCTTGCTCATCCTTCAAAGCCCCAGCTACAGTGCTCCTTCTTTGAGGAAGTCTCCCCTTCCCAGGCAGAGACCTGGCTCCAAACTTTAGGTTCCCTGGCCCGAGGTCCCTTTCTCTATCTCAGCCTCAGTGGCTTGAGCCTGGCTGGGGAAGGGCCCGTGTCCAGTGGGGCAGGGGGCTACTTACATAGAGCCGGGGCCGGGGCAAGGCTGGGTCACCTCCATCACCTGCCAGCCGCCGCAGCTTTTCTCCTGGTCCCTCAGGCCCCTCGTCTGTCTCCAGCTCTGGCCCATCAAGGCCCACACCCCTCCGCTTCAATGTCTATGGGGACAGGAGACAAGGGGATGGACCTTTACCTCCTACCCAAGGAAGAAAAAATAGTTCTATGGAGAGAGGACAGGCCTTCCCCACTCAGCTCTGAGGGTAGAAAGAACATGGCCCACTCCAGCCCAACCCTATTGATTAAAACCCCAGGGAGTCACCGTTTAGTAAATTCCAACTGTGTTTCAGGAAGGACCCAGAGAGGTCAAGGACCCAACCTAGATCACACAGCAGAGCCGAGATCACCCAGGCTTGCTGGTGCTGTCCTGATTTAGTCCTGCACTCGCCATGGCTACTTCCATTCTGTCCCCACATGCAGTGGGGTTTAATACATGTGAGGAATTGAACTCTGAGGACAGTATGGGCTTAACCGAGCTGGTCTCCCCCGGGGCCAAAGAACTACACACTCAGGGCTGGGGATGTGGCTCAAGCGGTAGCGCGCTCGCCTGGCATGCATGCAGCCCGGGTTCGATCCTCAGCACCACATACCAACAAAGATGTTGTGTCCACCGAGAACTAAAAAATAAATATTAAAAATTCTCTCTCTCTCTCTGTCTCTCTCTCTCTCCTCTCTCACTCTCTCTTAAAAAAAAAAAAAAAAAAAAAAAAAAAAACACTACACACTATTGGCCCTGCTTCTTTTTTGCCAGCTTTGCCCCCTCCTGGAACACTGGGGACTCCCAGGTGCAGGGCAGCCTGCTGCTCCCTCCAGCCCTGGGGCTTTAGCTCCCCTTGCCTACCCCGGCTGGTAGGTGTGGGGTCGAGCCAACTCCTGGAAAAGCTGCTGTGGTCTCTTTCTTCTGAGGACACAGCAGCCCAGATCAAAATCGAACCCAGGACCTCGTGCATGCTAGACAAGCACTCTCCCACTGAGCTACATTCCCAGCCCTTTTTATTTTATTCATTTATTTTTTGGTACCGGGGATGAACTCAGGGGCACTTGACCACTGAGCCGCATCCCCAGCCCCATTTTGTATTTTATTTAGAGACGGGGTTTCACTGAGTTGCTTAGGGCCTCACCATCGCTGAGGCTGGCTTTGAACTCCCAATCCTCCTGTCTCAGCCTCCCGAGCCCCTGGGATTACAGGCGTGCATCAGGTTGCTGAGACTGGCCTTAATCTCATGATCCTCCCACCTCAGCCTCCAAGTAGCTGGAATCACAGGTGTGCGCCACCGTGCGCAGAGTGCTCTTTCTTTCTGCTGTCCAGGCAGCTACCCCTAGGAGGCGCCTTCATTACCCCGTAGCTGGTTTTATCAGCCACAAGGCCAGATTGCAATCTTGTCTTTTGTGCAAACCCAGAGTCCCTGGGCAGAGTGTGCTGGGCTTGTTGGGGCCAGGGAAGAGGGCCCCGGAGGTACCTCGAGGATGTCGGTGTTGGTGCGGCTCTCGTGGGGCTCGCTGTACTCCGTGTACTTCAGCAGCACGCGGTCCATGTCGGTGCTGGCGTACTGGAAGAGGCGGTTGGCGCTGTTGAAGATGATGAGGGCGATCTCGCAGTCACAGAGCACGCTCAGCTCGTAGGCCTTCTTCATCAGTCCAAACTTGCGTTTGGTGAAAGTCACCTGGACCCAGGACCCACCAGAGCAGGGGAGAGTGGGAAAGGATCAGGATGTGGAGCAGTGCGGAGGGAGGGCAGGGACCGATGGGTCCTTGAAGATGCTTGGAGAGTCCAAGCTTTTCCGTGGGTTTTCCCCACCCGCCGCCCCTGGGATTGAAGCCAGGGGCTGTCTATTCCTGAGCCACATCTCCAGCGCTTTCTGTTTTATTTTGAGACAGAGTCTTGCTAAGTTTTTTTCCAAGCTGACATTGAACATGCGATCCTCCTGCCTCAGCCTCCCAAGTGGCTGGGCGTGCAGGTGTGCGCCCCAGGCCTGGCACCGGTGCGCCTTCTGGTTGAGCTGCTCCCTCTGATTTGGCAATTCAACCCAAAGAGCCCCTCCTCTTTGGTAAGCTTTCCTTGGCCTCCCAAACAGAACCCACACTTTTTCTCCCGGCTGCCCTCTGAGTTAATGTGTCTGTGCCCAGCTCCATCCCCTGTGTGACCCAGTGGGCTCCAGTCGTTAGGGAGAACAAACAAAGACTTGGTCATAAAAGTGAGCAAATACTCCATCTCAAACTCCTGAGGGTGACTCAAGGCCCCTGAGGCCTCCTCACCCCCTTGCAGTTCTCCCAAATCGCCAGGCCTGTGCCCAGATTGTGCCCCCTTCCAGGAACGCCTTTCCCTCAGCCACGACTCCAAGCCAGTGAACTTACCTGCCGATTCCTCTGGTCCAGAATGCGCGAGATCTGAATTTTTTTCCTCCCCATGGCCCCAGGCTGAGCAGAGTGAACTTGATCTGGGGGAAAAGGGGGAGAGGACAGAGTGGGTGGATGGAAAATGGGGAGGGGAAGCCCAGCCTCCCTCCTGTCCTCTGCCTGACCCTGCCAGGTGCTAAGGGAAAGATGAGGAGGAAAATCAAGGCAGGCTGCATCCCCTCTGCCTGGGAGCAGCCCCAGAATGTAGCAGATGCTCAATAAACACATTCAAACCCATGAGGAGAAGACCGACAAAGGGTGGAAAAACAAATACAGAGGTCCCAGTACTGAGGTTAAGAATGACACACTGATGAACCTGACCTCCCTGGGCCTCAGTCTACCCAGCCATGCATTGTGCAGTGGTGTGCGTGGCTGGGTGTTGCTGAGAGATAATATGAGTTAAGCCACGTGAGGTGGTAAGATGTGCCTGGCACAGAGCAGGTGCTGCATACAAGCTGCTATTATGAATAATAGCAATAGCCAAAAGGTCCTGCCGGCCACGCTGGAGGGTCATCCAATGCTAGCACCCAGCAGCACGTAGCAAACAACCATAGAATCTAGACTCAAGCTGCTGAAACTGAGAAAGCAGAACTACAGGACCTCGTGCACACTGAGCAGACACCCAGAGGGGCCTGGGCCACGAAGTGGATAGCCTCATATTCAATCTCACAACGGCATGCCCACATGCAAGAGCCAGGGCTGTATTTACAAGAAAACATATTCATTTATATATTATTTGTTTGCTTTTTTTTTTTTTTTTGAGGTGCTGGGTATGGAACCCAGGGCTTTGCTCATGCTAGGCAAGTGCTCTACCACTGAGCTACATTCCCAGCCTTTTTTTATTTTATTGATTTATTTTTTGGTACCAAAGATTGAACTCAGGGGCACTTGACCACTGAGCCACATCCCAGCCCTATTTTGTATTTTATTTAGAGATGGGGTTTCACTGAGTTGCTTAGGGCCTCGCCATTGCTGAGGCACTTGCCTTTGATTCATTATTTTTTAAAAATACTTTTTTAGACATTGGTGGGCCTTTATTTTGTTTATTTATTTATATGTGGTGCTGATAATGGAACCCAGTGCCTCACACAGGCTAAGCAAGTGCTCTACCACTGAGCCACACCACAGCTCCATGATTAGTTTTTTTTAAAGGAAAATGTGTGTGTGTGTGTATGTGTGTGTGTGTGTGTGTGTGCTGGGGAGTAACCTAGCACCTCATGCATGAAAATTTTCTGAGAATAACAAAGCTGGTGGCATATACCTGTAACCCCAGTGACTTGGGAGGCTGAGACAGGAGAATCACAAGTTCAAGGCCAGCCTTCACAACTTAGCCAGGCCCTCAGCAACTTAGTGAGACCCTGTCTTAAAATACTATAAAATGGCTAGAGCTCAGTGGAAAAAAAAAAAAAAAAGAATAACAGAGCCAGGTGCAGTGGCACATGCCTCTCATTCAGGCTACTTGGGAGGCTGAGGTAGGAGGCTCACAAGTTTGAGGCCAGCCTCAGCACCTTGGCAAGACCCTGTCTCAAAAATAAAAATTGAAAAGGATTGGGGTGTAACTCAGTGGAAAAGCACCCCTGCTTCTGGCCTGGAGTCTTCAGATTGTGATTTTGGCCTGGGGTCTGTCTACTTTGAAACATAGGAGAAGCCTGGATCTCCCTCATGGAGCTCTTGGCCTGAAAGGCCCAGGTGCTAGGCCACAAGGACACAGTGTGAGGGGGTCTGCCTGCCCCAGCAACCCTCATGCAGAACTTGGTAGAACAAAGGAATCACGTTGCTCATACATAATTAGTTACGCACTCTGCTGGACAGACAACTGCCCTAAGCCCCCAAGTTCCCAAGGGGACAGCCCCTTCTGCTAACGATGTGACCCTGCTCTACTTCCCAGCCTCTCCCATGTTACAGGTGTCTGTGACAGGAGGCTTCAGGCAAGTGGTCTCCCCAGGGTCACGTAGGCCTGCACACAGCTCTCAGCCAGCCTCCGACACTTGGTGGGGCCCTCAGTATGGGAGACCTCTCCCTAGGTCTCAAACTATTCTGTGAATGGAGCCAGTGTCAGTCCCCTGGGGCGGGCATAAGATGCTGAGTGCCCACCACTAGGCCTGGTGATGAGCTCTTAAGAAATTCAGATTCCGGGGCTGGGGATGTGGCTCAAGCGGTAGCGCGCTCGCCTGGCATGCGTGCAGCCCGGGTTCGATCCTCAGCACCACATACCAACAAAGATGTTGTGTCCGCCGAAAACTAAAAAAAATAAATATTAAAATTCTTTCTCTCCTCTCTCTCTCTAAAAAAAAAAAAAAAGAAAGAAAGAAATTCAGATTCCAATTAGACACAGTGATGCACACCTGTAATTCCAGCGACTTGGGAGGCTAAAGCAGGAGGAAGGCCAGCCTCAGCAATGTAGTGAGACCCTGACCCCAAATTTAAAATGATTAAAAGGGCTGGGGATGTGGTAGAGCACCCCCGAGTTCAATCCCTAGTATTTCCTCCACCTCCCCCACAAAATTCAGATCCTAGGCTGGGGATGTAGCTCGGTGGAAGAGGCTTACCCAGCATGCATAGATCCTGGGTTCCATTGCTAGTTCCCCTCCCCCAGCAAAATCAGATTCTGGCCCAGTGCAGTGGTCCACATCTATAGTCCTAGGTAGTTGGGAGGCTGAAGCAGGAGGATCACTGGAGCCCAGTTCAAGACCAGCCTGGGTAACATAGTGAGATAGTGAGACCCCATCTCAAAAAAAAAAAAAAGAAAGAAAGATAAAAAAATTTTTCAGATCCTTTGGGAATGGCCACAGTCTGACCTGGGTATCCAGCGGCCATAAGGGTAGGACACTTCAGCTGGAAGTGTGGCCCCCTGAGTGACCCCAGGAACACAGCATCCTCTGCCCTCTGAGCCGGGTCTCTGGGCCTTTACCTCTGTGTAGAGCTGGGGCTGGCAGTCGGGCCCCCCCAGCTCCAGTTTTACTTGCTAAATTTAAGCACCAAGGCTAATTTTAATCCCCGGCCGGAATCAGGCGCGTTCCCACGGCTGGGATGTGTTGCCCCAACCCTAGAAGGTCCCTGGAGGCTGAAGGGGGGCACCGGCCCGGAGGTTCCAGTGCCAAGATGACTCCGGAAATGCCCCCTACACCCGGGGTCCCATGAGAGCAGGGGCCAGACTGGGGCTTGGACCTGAGCCACTTGGGCCTGAAAGACCTGACTCCAAATCCTCCTCAGTTTGTCATTAAGACACAGACACCATGGCTAGGGTGAAGTTCAATGACAAAGGAGCCCCCAAAGCCAGGAAGTTGGGGAGTCTCTGTGAACAGAGACCCTAGAGCAAAGACAGGAAGTGAGATCCAGGCAGAAGGGACAGCAGGTGCAGGGCCTAAAGAGGAATGAGACACAGCCTGAGGCTGGAGGGAGGCAGAGGGGGCCTCCAGGGCTGGGCCACTATGGGTCCTAGACCAGGACCATGGGTTCTGATCTAGGAGCCATTGAGAACTACCAGAGAGACTTTGTTCAAAGACAGGATAGGCGTGGCTTTCTTATTTATTTATTTATTGGTACTGGGATTGAACTCAGGGGCACTTTATCATTGAGCTTGATCCCCAGGCCTTTTTAAATTTATTTTTGAGATAGGGTCTTGCTAAGTTGCTGAAGCTGGTCTGGAACTTGAAATCCCCCTGCCTTAGGCTCCCGGGTCACTGGGACTCCAGGCACATATCACTGAGCTCCGATATTTTCTTTTAGTTTTTTTTTTTTTTTTTTTTTTTTTTTTAAGAAAGAGTGAGAGAGAGAGGGGGACAGAGAGAGAGAGAGAATTTTAATATTTATTTATTTTTTCTTAGTTCTCGGTGGACACAACATCTTCGTTTGTATGTGGTGCTGAGGATTGAACCCGGGCCGCACGCTAGCTAGGCGAGCGCGCTACCGCTTGAGCCACATCCCCAGCCCCTTCTTTTAGTTTTTGAAAGAAGGTCTCATTATGTTGTTCAGCCTGGCTTCAAACTCTTGGGCTCAAGGTGAATCTCCTGCCTCAGTCTCCTAAGAAACTGGGACTCCAGGCACATGTCACCGTACCTGGCTTGATTTATCATTTTAAGACTCAGCCCTTGGCTGTCATGGGGATCAGAACTGCTGGGGGCAGGGATGGAGATGATTCGAGGGTGGAGGGGAGGACAGAGGTGCACCTGTCTGGGGGTGGGATTCCTTCAATGCTTTGTGCCTTAAGTCATTGTACTCCAGGGTCCAGTGGGTTTTCTGCCTTCTCCAGAGCCAGGCCTGACAAGTGCACTGGGCTCATGCATGAGTTTAATTCTCCTGGCTCCCATTGATCCTGGTACTCCCCCCAATCACCCAAGAGCCAACTCACTTTGGTCCCTGAGGGGTCTACCCAAAACAGCTCCGATCATGCTCACAGCTCCGTAAGTCCACACTGTCCTCATGAGCAAGTTCAGCATTCAGCCTGATATTCAAGGCCCCTGCCCAAATCAGCTCCTGCCCGTCTCACTCTCCCTTCAATAAGTATCTCTGCTCAAAAGGCTCTTTTGTCTCTTCTTCACCTGGGCAACTCTTATTCATACTTCAAAACCCAGCCCCCCAAAAACCCATTTCTCCAGGAAGACTTCTTTGCCATTCTGGACTTCCACAGTGCACATCCTTCCCCTCCAGTTCTGATCCCGTTGTGCTGAGGGTAGGCCTATCCAGCTTTATCTCTCCCAAAGCAGCAACCCCTCTGGATCAGGCCCATGAGTGATCAAGATTTCGTGAGGGGCTGGGGATGTGGCTCAGTGGTAGAGCACTTACTTAGCACGTGTGAGGCACTGGGTTTGATCCTCAGCACCACATAAAAATAAAGAAATTAAATAAAGGTTTGAAAAAAAAAGAATGCTTTAAAAGAAAAAATAAAAAGATTTGGTGGTTGGAGCAGGTCAAGAGAAACATGACTGTTCACCCCCTACACATACCCAGTTTCCCTCAACAACTTCCTCTTAGAGTCCCCCAGCTGATACCCTGCCCAGAAATACACGCGCATGCAAATCCAGTCACTCAGCATGGACCT